CTGGTTCATATCCCATTTTAGACATCATCTGTTGGCCCGGTGAAGTTTCAGGGGGCAAAGTAGTCACTACAATTCTCCATTCTTCCAACAAATCTCTGCCCCATAAGTTTACAGGTATGGAAGCTATGTAAGGAGAAATATATCCCAGTTGACCATCAGGCCCTTCATAAGGCAGAGGAATGGAGCTTTGTAAAACTTGTTGGGAAGCGCCAAGGCCTACCAGAGATGTTTTAGTTGGTTTTTTCCCCCAAGATCGATGGCCAAAACCACGTGCCAATCACGGACCTGTCAGTGCCTGTGTCTATCAATCCTGTAAAGAATTTACCGTTCAATTTAATTTTGCACATGGGGCAGTTTTTGGAAATCTCTTGGGTGAAATAAATCTCTTCTTGAGGAATTTCTGGCTGAGGATCCTCTTGGGAATTTTTAAGGCTAACATTATTTAATTGTGGTTTAGGCAAGAGCAATAATTGTGCAATATAATCTCCTTGTTCTATTACCCAAAGTCCTGTGGAACTAACAGGAATACATAATTCAGAGGTACAATCAGAATCAACAATAGCTGGAATAACAGTAATGCTTTTCAAAGTTAGAGAGAATTTTCCAAGTATCAAGCCAATGGTTCCAGGGGGTGGGGGGTCCATGAATTCCTGTGGGGACAGATACCGGAGTCTCAACTCCCAGTAGGTGAACTCTCTGAGCAGCAGGAAGATCTATTCCTGAGCTCCCCAGTGTTCCCCTGATGAGGGAAGAAATGTTCCTCCAGACACCCATGCTGTCTGGTTTTGTACTTGTGCATGGGTCTGAACTGGGTACTGCTGATTCAGGGGGACTGGAGCCTGCTGGTCCTGATCTATAGTTTTCTGGGCCCAATTTCCATTTTCCTCGCAGCAGTGTGCCATCCTTATCATATTTGGAGTGGGAGGCTTTAGCCCAGTGAATGCCTTTTCGACAGCGAGGGCAAAGGCCAGGTGGTAACTTATTTTCTCTGGATGTCTGACCTAGTGGCTCTGGGTCAGCTTGTAAAGCCCCTTTCATTTTGCAGTTTTTTCTGAGATGCCCCAATTTTCCACAATTAAAACATTTTAAATCACTCTGTGTACCGCGTAAATGTTGGGAGATGGCTTGAGCCATCAGAGCCGCATTATATAAAGGAGACCCACTATTCTGGCATGCCTTAATATATGCTCCAAGATCTTTAGAATAGTGAACAGGATTTATTGCCTGTTTGCAATCCATATTAGCATTTTCATAGGCTAGCTGTAAGATCAGGATGTCTGCTGCCTGGGAATTAGAAATCTGTCTCCTAACAGTTTGTTGTAATCTTGCTACAAATTCTGTGTAAGTCTCCACCGGCCCTTGCATGATTTGAGTAAAAGATTTCGTTGGCGCACCGTCAACTGGCACAGAAGCCCAAGCCCTCCGCAGGAGGTCCTCTAGCTGGTGTAAGAGTAATGCTGGGCAACAGGCCTGCCTGCTTAAATCCGAAAAGTCACCTGTGCCCAATAACATGTCGATAGTAACGTCTCTCGACTGAGCATCTCCCTGAGCATTTTTATGAGCCTGTTCCCTGATTAAAGAACGAAGTTCCACCTCAAAGTGGAGATACTGAGTTGGGGATAGGCACATTTTGCAAGATGAAAAACATCATGAGGAACCAGAGAATAAGTCTGAAGCACATTGTTCAACAAACCCACTGTATAGGGGCTTTGGACACCATTAGTTAGCACACTCTGCCTGAGCTCCTTTAGGATGTTAAAATCAAATGAGGCGTGAACATACATGTCCACCTCTGAGTTGTCAGGATCAGGCAAAACTGAGACAGGACAGCACAAAGGGTCTCCCACTGCCTTGCCTGATGTCACAGCCTCTTGCAGGGCACGGCAATAGGGAGTGGCCCCAGAAGAGGGCTTCACAAGAGGGGCAGCTAGACCTTTGTGAGATGGCTGAGGGGCTAGAGAGTTAGGGTCTTCCTCAGCACGCTGTGGTGGTGGAGCAAAAGCCGCAGTGAGATGAAAGCAAACCGGAGAAGAAACCGAACAAGCGGAAACCTGGACAGAAGGGTTGGTGGGGGGAGGGGTAGCCAAGGTTTCCTGAACTGACTGAGAGAATCTGAGAGCAGAGCGGACTGAGGCCCAAGTGGGGAGCGTTCAAGGGGAGAGACGATCACCCCTTCGCTGAGCCTCACGGAGAACGGTACCTACACGTTTCCATGCTATTAAGTTAGTTGTCCCTTCCTGGGGAGAAGATGGGACGTACATTTGTATGTCTTTTAACAAATCTATCACAGCATCCTTAGGTACTGGGTACATAGCTTGCTTTAACAGCGACTTAAGTAATTTGGCAAAGTTATGCTGTTCTGTTGACAGAGACTGACCCATAGTTGTAGCTCAGCAAAGATAGAAAATAACGCCCAGCTGGACACACTTACCACCAGTGTCCCTCGTCCGAATCCAGAAATCGTCCTGGGAGATCCGTGTGCTGTCTCTCTTACTCCAAGTTTGTCTTGCGGGTGAGTTCATCCCGGATCCGATTCACATCCACGTTGGGCGCCAAATGTAGGGGACAGGGGAAGGGGACGTTACCAGAACCTCTGCAGTGAGTCCTGGTCTCCTGCGAGCCACGGCAGCACATGGCGAATTACAGGAAAGGTAGAAAAATGAGACTGAGAAGAAGCTGAGCTTTGGGTCTGATCAGTGCTGCTCTGGGCACCAAAGACAAAAGCCCCCAGCTTACTGCACCTTTTATTCAGTACATCCACCTTTTTATTCAGTACATCGGGAGAAACAAATGTAACAAATGAAATATGGAGTTCAATAGTTCACATTGGGATAAACAAGGTGTAACAAAAGGCTTGCAGAGAGTTCAGTACATCCTGGGTAAATAAGATGTTAACAGTTCAAGAACAATGAGGAACTGAGGAGATGTTTGTTCTCCCAGGGTGTTTTTAGCTCCCAGGATGTTTCTTGTCCTGGAGAATCACAGCATCACTGGATCACTGAAGTCTCAGTTGTGACCGGAGGCCAAACTGGAGTTATTCTGTAGCTGGGCTGTAGGCAAGAGAACTAGGCTAACCAAATGATTTCACCCTAAAATTATGTAGCATTGCTCCCAACAAGTGATGTTATGATGGATCTAGATAGTAACAAATATTTCATGTGCAAGCACAGATAAACATGAACATTGTCTAAGCCAGCAGTCCCCAACCTTTCTGGCATCAGGGACTGGTTTTGTGAAGGACAATTTTTCCATAGACGGTCTTGAGGGATAGTTTCAGGATGATTCAATCACATTACATTTATTGTGCACTTTATTATTATTACATTGTAAAATATAATAAAATAACTATACACCACACCATAATGCAGGATCAGGTAAATAAAATAATGAGTCGGCCATGTGGAGACTAAAATAAGTGTTGGATTCTGTCTAAAACCCTGCCACCATATGCAGCCTTTCACTTGCCATTCACTGATAAGATTTTGATATGAGCCTAGGAGCAATTGATTTATTATATTTCTGTGCAGTCAAATCTCTGCTAATATTAACATGTATTTGTAGCCTTTCCTTAGGGACAGTGTCCCTGCCTCAGATCCACCTCAGATCATCAGTCATTAGATTCTCATAAGGAGGGGGTAACCTAGATCACATGAATGTGCAGTTCATAGTAGGCTTTGTGCTCCTATGAGAATCTAATACCATTACTGATCTGACAGGAGGTGGGCCTCAGGTGGTATTGTGAGCCATGGGAAACAGCTGTAAGTACAGACAAAGCTTCACTCTGCCTGGCTTCACTCTCTCCCTCCCATTGTGCCCCGTGGTTCCTAACTGGCCCCTGAGTGGTACCTCTGTAAACCACAAAGTATCATTCCTTCTCCTAGGTGATAGGAATGACCTGTGCTTCTTTACAGGTGTAACCTTATGCTATTGGTAAATTTATTAAGATGTCCAATCATATAGCTGTATGGGGTAGTGCACGCTTGCAATCCCAGCACTTGGGAAGCAGAGGCAGGAGGATCACTGCAAGTTTGAGGCCAGCCTGGGATAAATAGCGAGACCCTGTCTTAAAAAACAAACCAAAAAAGGATGTCCAATCATATAATCAATACCACTTCCTGACAGCAAATCTTTGCTTTCTTAAATTTTCCTGCCAGTCACCCAATACAAACTCTAATCATACAAGTCTTTTCCAGCAGTTTCTTACTAAAATACCCAGGGGTTACCTATGGTGTATGTTTTCAGTGCATCCTTCAATGCAAAGAGTATTTAATCCAATTTGCTTATAGTAGTGTTTCTGGTGGTCTTTGGCTCAAAGTTATCACCAGAAGAAAGCTTATTACTGGTAGTAACTTACTTTTCATTTTAATGTTAAAGCTGCTATAATTGAATCCGGTCAGATAGTGGGTCAAAGTTAGAAATAATTAAAAATATAGTTCTAACAGTGCAGGAGGGTAAGGAAGGAAGATTGCAAGTTTGAGATCAGCCTGTGCAATTTAATGAGGCTTTGCCTCAAAATAAAAAGGGTTAGGCACTTGGGAGGCTGAAGCAGAAGGATTGCTGTGAATTTGAGGCCAGCATAGGCTGTATAGTGGGTTCAAGGCCAGCCTGGACTGCATTGGGAGACTCTGTCTAAAAAAAGGGGTTAGGGATATAGTTCTGTAGCCTCAGTACTGAGGTTATATGATATCTATCTCGCATTTTAGTAATGGGATGTGCTGTACTCACTACCATGGTTTAAAATTGTATTTTAGTACCATGGTTAATATTACTTAAAAGCAATTGTAGAATTTGTAATAATTGATAGTAAAGAAAAAATATAAGTATTAATAAATTCAAGAGGGAGAGCTTTCAAATTCTGGTTAATCAACATTTAAATGAGCATCCTAAATTAATAATTGCTAATAGGATTATATTAGCAATTCTTCAGTGTGGAAGAAGCTTGTTACTTTTTTCTTTTGATTAATGACTGCGTATAGTCACTGTAATTGTTGCTGAGACTATACCTGGCATCCATAGTTTAAAGGAGGAGAGGCTTATTTGGGCTCACAGTTTTAGAATTTTTAGTCCATGGTTGGCATGGTAGAAGGGTCTGCTGTGGACGAAAGCTGCTCAGGTCTTGGTGGCCAGGAAGCGGAGAGAGGATAGTGGAGCCTGGGAGGGAGATGTACTCTTCCAGGTCATGCCCTTAAAAACCCACCTGCAACCATGGCCCACCTCCTAACAGCAAGTCAGCTGTAGCACTCATAATCCAGTCACCTTCCCAAAGCCCCACTTCTGCACACTTGAGACTTTTGGTGGACAATCTAGATCTAGACCATAACAGTGTTTCTGCTTAAGTTCTGTGTAATATCCTATAGCGAAATATATGCATTATCTCATCACTTTTATTTCTGTCATATATATTTAATGTATTATTTATTTATTTATTTGGTACTGGGGGTCGAACTCGGGACCTAGCACTTGCGAGGCAGGCACCAGAACCACTGAGCCAAATCCCTGGCAGTCATATGTATTTAAGAAAAGTAGAATTTTAAGCGATTTTTTTTTAATGAAAACTTATTTGCTATTGAGCTATTTTGAATATTTATAGGGAAACTCTTTCATGACAATTAGCAAATTAACAGTGACTGAAATATAATAACTTTTGTTGGTTTGGGATATAATTTGGTAAAGCTATACTTTAAAATTAATCTTCTTTTTGGAATTAATGACATGAAGTTTACATTATGTATTGCTTCACTGATAACAGTTTCAACTTTTCTTCTTTCTGATACTGGAGATCGAATTCAGATATGCTTTGCTACTGAGATATATCCCCACCTTTTTGATTTTTTTTTTTGAGACAAGGTCTCTTTAATTTGTACAGGCTGGTCTAGAACTTGCGATCTTTTTGCTTTAGCCCCAAGTAGCTGGGAGTATAGGCATGTGCACTACACTCAGGCTCAACATACTGCTTTCGGTAAAGCGTTGATTTCTACATTTTTACAAATTCTCATTTCCCAAATGTGAAAATCACTAGGCACTCTTTTTTTCTTTAAATCTTTTGCATTTGAAATTATTTATCAGTTTTTAAAAATTTCTTCCTTCTTTTCCTCCATTAAGTATATTGACCAGGTCTTTTTTTGTTGTTGTTGTTCTTTTATTGGTACATTTTAGGTATACAATTCGTTTACATTTATCATTGGGTGCTTGTACCTGTACATGATATATCTTGGTTCTTATTTTT